GCGCCCCGCAGTGGGCAGGAGGCCGAGCCTGGCAGCCCCTCCCGGCCGAGCAGCCAGCAAGCTGGGCCAGGAGGCCGAAGCCTGGTAGGAGGGACTGAGGAGGGGGCTCCTTATTTTTCTAGAGATGAGGGGCTGACCTGTCTTTACTTCCCTCTCCATCTGGGGGAGGTATACAATATGAGGGCTCTGTCCTCCGACCATGTGCAGTACTCCCCCCACTTCTGGCCAGGAAATCAGGAACAGGTTCTGGTCAGGGCAGGAGACTCTCACTGGCCAAGGGACATCTCTGATCTAAGTCCTGGCTGTGAAAATGGCACAATGATTCTGGCTCGAGGGGATGTTATGAGGGAGCACGGAGGTACTGCTGGGGAAGTGCTGTCCTGGTCCAGGGGATGAGTGCAAGCCCAGTGACTTCCAGTATTCATCCTATGTCTACCAGTATCCCTGCTTCTCACCAGTAATGCCCATGTTCTCAGTACCCTGAAACCCACTCAGTGCTTCCCACTGTGAGCTCAATGACCACCTCCTTCTCGGTTCCCACCCAGTGCCTCTGGTACTCAACCAATATCTTCCCAGGGCCTGCCAGTACTTCCAAGTACCCTCTTGGTTGTTATCCACTCTCCCCCTGTGCTTGCTCAGTATTTTCAAATATCCATTCAGCCCTTCGCCCAGTTACTACTCAGTAATCATCTGGTGCCCTCCTTCTAGTTTAGGTTTGGTTCCCCTTAATATCTCCCAGGGATGACTCACTGTCCCCAGTACCTGACTAGTGGCCCCTAATGCCCTCCTCATACCCACCCAGTACCCTGCACATCCAATGTAGTTCTCAGTACCTTCCCGGTACTCCTTTTCACCCAGTGCTAACCACTACAACCCAGTACTCCTGCTATACACCCCCTGCCCCTCTCTACTTTCCGGTAAATCCAGTTCCCTCCACCCGCACCCCCAGCCGAGCTCCTCCAGAATGTAGTGCTCTCAGCGGCCAGGAGAGGGCGCGCGAGCAGTCAGTCAAAGAACGAAGCGCGGGGCGCGGCCCTGGTGGAGGTCGAGGGGCTGCATCTGAGGCCTTTGTTTTCGGAGCCTGAGTCCGCGCCCAGAATGCGGCTACATTTCGGGGGAGTCCTGCTGGGAGTGGCCGCACCCTCATCCCTTATCCTCGGTTAGCCTCGCCAGGCCCGCTGCTGCCGCCGCCGTCGTGGTTTCGGCTCTGGGAGGGCGCGCGCGCCCTCTGGTGGCCATGGAGCAGCGCAGCTCCCTGGGCTGCTGCGCGGGGACAAGGTGGCACGTTCCTTTCCTTTCTCTTCCAGAGTCCTAATTTGTTGGGCCTGTCCTCGAGCTGGCACACGGATGGTTGGGAGTTGGGGTTGTTGCCAATCCAGTGCCCTCTCTGGGTAAGGCACAGGGACTGGAGCTTGGGATACGGGAGAACATTGGTTAGGGAGCTTGGGCCTGGTAATGGTGGGGGGGAGTGCTGAGTAGGCTAAGATAATGGATCTCTACTCAGGGATTCAGCAATTCTGGCTTTTATGCGGGGTGTGCTGCCTGTAGAAGGCGAGGGTGGAGTTGAGGGGTGGTGGCAGTAGGTTGATGCAGCTCCATTCCAGGCCTGGCAGCTCCTGCCTGGCCCTAAACCCTTAGCAATGGGATCCCCATCGATTGACCTACTCCTGAATTGACCCCATTGCTGCCTTGGCCTACCTGCCAGACCTCAGTTCTCTGTCCACCAGGCTGGACCTGTTACCCAATCTTCAGCAGTCCTGGGGTGCCCTTTCCCTCTCCAACAATCTGAGGTTTTTTCTTTTCTGTGTTTTGGGGAAATAGATGGAGCTACAGCAGGAAGGATACAGGTTAGACTCCTGCAGTCTGTCCTGGACTTGGGTGACCTTGGCCTGTAGGACCATCCAAGGACAGAAATGTTTTCTTGTGCCTGTCTCTGGTCTGGCATCAGGATAACACGCAGCAAGCCTCTGCTCAGTGGATTAGTGAGTGCGTTCCCTTAGACTTATAGGTCGTTGGAGATGCCTCTTCCATCTTCCTCCTCACTGCGTAAATGGGGAAACTGAGGCACCCAGCAGGTAAGCCTCAGTGTCCTGATTTATAAAATGAGGATTAAAAACTCTTATCTACTTCCCAGGATAGTTGTGAGGATTAAATCTGATGATGATGATGTTGATGAAAATAATATTGATCACAGACACTGACAGCTGAGCGCTCACTTTGTACCGGGCGCTATGTAAAGTGACTCAGCACGTGAGATCCCAGAGGTTATTATCTTGACAAACGCTCAGGGTCTTCCTGAAGAATCATGACCAGCTCACAGGCTGAGTGACTACCATGAGCCCCTACCATGCTCAGTGCCCAACTCCAGGCCTCCAGGATGAGCTCTAGAACTCCTCTGATTGGGCTGGGGCTGGAGGCTGAGGGAGGGACAAGATGACCTTGGGCTGTCCCCTGTGCAGTGCTCCCATGTTCCCTAGGCCTGGATCATATTTCCGGCCCCTGGGGAGGGCAGAGAGGGCTAGTTGATGGAGGAAGCATGTGTCCTGGCCTGGGCAGCTGGACCTGGGGGCCTTGCCCCGGAACCTGCGGCCTTTCCTGCAAAGGGAATATCCAAGAGCAGGAAGGAAGGAAGTGGGGAGGGGGAGGAAGAGGGGGGAGGGAGAAAGGATGGGACGGGCCCCAGCTGGGACTGTGTTCTCTCTGGGACTGGCCAAGAAAAGAGGACATCTGGATTGGCCTGGCTGAGAGGACATTTGTCTGGTCACTCTGGCTGGGGCTTGGATGTATGTGTGTGATGGTGGGGGTGGGGGGGGTGGGGTTGGTGAGAAAAGAGGATGGTCCCATCCTCTGTTTCCTCATCTGTGTAACAGGTACAAAGACACCCCCTTCCTGGGCAGGATGAGAGTAAAGAATAAGGTCAGAATGCGAAGTGCCATTGGAGCCTGGAACATAGTAGGTGAGTCATGCCTGTTAGTCCCTCCTCCCCGGCCTGGGCCTGACCTGTGAGACAATAGCTTGGGCAGAATCGAGGACTGCCACTGCTGTGAACTCAGGCATTCACTCAACAACCATTATAGAGCACCTAATATGTGTTGAGGTTTAGGGCTGTTGACCTGAACGGAGCCAGTCCTGCTTTCTCAGAGCCCGTCTGTAGTGACAGAAGAAGACAGGTTGCTGGGCAGTGATGGGGGAGTATGGGGCCTGTGAGAGTCCAGGGGAGGTGCCTGACTCAGCTTGGGAAGTGAGGGAAGTCTTGGAGAAGGTGATATTCTTATCAGGACCCAAAGGATGAGTATGCATTAGCCAGAAATCAGGCTTGATGGGGAAGAGGATTCTAGTTGCAGGGAAAGAAAAGCAGGCCCCAAGCTCAGAGTTCAAGGAGGGCAGGGCTATGGCTGCAGCAGAGTGTATAGCAATGAGCAGTGGTGGGAGGGGAGGCAGGGCCTTGGGGCTCAGGGATAGAGCTATGGATTTTATCCTGAGGGCACTAGGGAGCCACAGAAGGTTCTAGGCAGGGGGTGGCATGGTCAGAGTGGAATAAGGCCCAATGGAGGGAACTCAGAGTTCCCACGACAACCTGTCACCTCCATGCCCTCATGTCCCATGGGTCTTCCATGAGGAGCAGCCAGGCCAGAGCGTCATAGCCCCCTAGTAACTCTTCAGACTCCCCTGCCCCGCTTCTTTGTCAAGGCTTCTTCCCTACCAGGGTATTATTTCCCTGGAGAAGCCAACACCATATGCTGACCATGATGACAGCACAGGGAAGGATTGAGAAACCCTCAGTCCTTTTTCCTTTCAGTCCTTCCTTACTCATCAGTAAGCCAAAGGTAGGGAGTATTGGTAGACGTGCAGGAACCAAGTGAAATAAAAACAATTGAGTTTGTGTGATGTTTCCACCCCTCAGGTAAAAATGAAATACATGTGCATACAAAATACAAACCATATCATTTTGATGATTCTGCATGAAAGTGAACTGTCCTTACATTTGCATTTAAAATTGGCATTGCACAATATAAAGGTGAAGGGTAAAGGTCATGCTAGTCAAAGGTGTTAATTTTTCTTTTCTTAGAATGACATTAAATAGCAAATAAAAAACATCATGACAAGTTGAGAGATAGACCACATAGGAAAGAGAAAAGCGTTATATATATTAGTTTTATCCAACTATTTTATTTTTATTTTGAGGCAGGGGCTGGTAATTAGATTTACTTATTTATTTAATGGAGGTACTGGGGATTGAATCCAGGACCTTATGCATGCTAGGCACACACTGTATAATGGAGTTATGCCTTCTTCCCATATTTAGTTTTATATTTGAGTGCCTTTAAAATTAGGCACTTTCTCCTTGCTTTTTGGACAAGAGACTCTGCATTTCCATTTTCTGCAGGGTCCTGAAGTGTAATGGGCTCTGAGTGGAAGACCCCGTCCATGTCTATTTTAGGATGGGGAGCTGTAAGAATGGGGACCAAGGCTTCCCTACTACTGGGTGTTCCCTCTGTGGTGCCGCCAGGGTGGTGGATAAGGCTCCCTGAGCCCAGGAGTGAAGACAGGAGATGGAACCACCTCCTTTTCTTTATATCCCTCCCAGCTGGTGGAAGGCCTAGGCTCTCCCTGGGGGTCCCACTCTCCCCCTGTACCACAGTCCAGGGTTTAGGGCAGCGCAGGCCCCTCAGGCTGAAAGATGATGCTGTCCTTGGCCTTGGAGGACATCTTCACTGACTACCAGGCTGCCATCCAGCCTGCAAGCTCCAGGGGGTCCCTGGTTCCCTCACCTTAAGACGGGCCTCCCAAGGACAGGACCTGCAGAGGAGCCTCAGAGGAGGCTATTGTGAAGCTGGAGAGGGCTTCTGTCTTCCCTCTCCCAGTGCTGCCCCCAGTGGGTGAGGGCGAGGGGGTGGGTTCTCTCTCCTTGGCCTGCTTTTGGGAGGCAGTGAAGGGAGCAATGGAAACCCTTTGGCAGTGGTCAGCCAGCAGCCCAGGCCTGTAGAAGGCCCTGGCTCTTGAGGCAGAGGGAGTGGGCATGGGAGTGCAGCTAGGTGGGAGGGAAGAGCCTCCTCAGACTGGGTCTCTGAAGGGCTGGCGGAAGGCAGGCTGCACAGGGGCCGGGGGTGGGGGCAGTAGGGGGTGGGGGGTAGTAAAGCCTCTCTCCCCACTGCCTCTGGCTCTTGTCCCACCAACTCACCCAAGCTCTCTGACTCTATTTCCTCTTTGATACCACAGGACAATGACTGCACCTGCACCCAGGACCACTGTGAACATTCTCTGACCTAATGCATAAAAAGCATTTAGTGTCCCACATGGCACTTAGAGGCCACCATTCATAGAAGCTCACCTGTTGTGGAAGAGGAGGTTAGTGACTTGGTGGGGCCTCCTCCCTGCCACCAACAATGCCCTCCATCCCTTTCCCTCTCTTGAGTCCTCCTCTTTTCCTATTTACCCTGCTTTCCCACTTCCTCTCTTTGCTGTTCCTCTAGCATAAGTCTTGTGCTCACCTCAGGGCCTTTGTACTTGCTGTTCCCTCTCTGCAGCTCTGGTCTCCCAGATGCTTGATGACTGACTATCGTTTCTGGGGTCTTAGCATAAATGTCACCTCCTCCAGGATGGCGTGCCTGACTGCCCCAGCTGATTTCTCCCTGGTGAAGCCATTCTACATTTCACTTGATAGGTGATAATTTTGTTTACTCATTTGTTCAGCATCTTTCTCCCCTCCCTGCCAGGCTGTGGGCCTCAGGTAGGTGGACACCTTGTCTGTCTTGTTCCCAGTGTCGTTGGTGACTGGCAGCACATAGTAGATGCACCTCACAGACAGAGCCCTGCTCTTCTGGAGTTCACTGTTTAATGAGTGAGGCAGGATTGAACAAGCAAAGAAAAGTTTTGATTTTTAAAAAATTTATTATTTTTAATTGTGGTAAGCTACACATAACATAAAATCAGCATCTTAACCATTTTTAAGTGTACAGTTCAGTGACATGAAGCACATTCACATAGTTGTGCAACCATCACCGCCATCCATCTCTGGAACTCTTTTCATCTTGCAGAACTGAAACTCTACCCATTAAATAATAACTCCCCATTCTCTGCATCCACCCCAGACCCTGGCTGCCACCATTCTATTTTTCGTCTGTGCAAATTTAACTACTCTACATGGCTCAAATAAGTGGAATCATGCAGTATTTGTCTTCTTGTGACTGGCGTATTTTGCTTAGCATAATGTCCTAAAGGTTCATCCACATTGTAATGTGTGTCAGAATTCCCCTCCTTTTTAAAGGCTAAATAATATTCCATTGTATGTACATACCACATTTCATTTATCCATTCATCTACTGATGGACACTTGGGTTGCTTCCACATCTTGGTTATTGTGAATAATGCTACTATGAACATGGATGTACAAATATCTCTTCAAAACTTGCTTCCAATTCTTTAGTGTATATACCCAGAAGTGAAATTGTTATTTTTTATTATTTTTTTAACATTTTTTATTGATTCATAATCATTTTACAGTGTTGTGTCAAATTCCAGTGTTCAGCACAATTTTTCAGTCATTCATGGACATATACACACTCATTGTCACATTTTTTT